TGTCCTTTCAGTAGCTCTCTTGCATTTACATATGAATTTTAGGATCCATAAGCTTTTGTTGTTGTTTTTGAAAATATACACAGCAGAACATGACACCAATTCAGCCATTTCTGTATTTGTAATCCAGTGACCTTGATTACATTCTTGTGCACCCATTCTGACCCTCCTTTTCCAAACTGTTCTCTGTCGTTAGCATAAACTCACTGTTCCCTAAGCTTCCTGTCTGTCCTTTTGAGTTACTGCCAGTTTAACAGTGTGATTAAGTCTTCTGACCCATGAACATGGGATGCCTTTTATTTATTTAGATCTCTAATTTCTTTCCATGGTGTTTTGTAGTTTTCAGTGTACACATTTTGAACTTCTTTTGTTAAATTTATTCCTAGATATTTGTTTTTCTGATGTTGGCATTGTTTTCTTAATTTTGAGATTGTTCCTTGTTAGTGTGTAGAAGTATAAATGATTTCTCTATGTTGATCTTATATTCTGAAACATTGTGGAACCTATTCATTAAACTAGTTGTTAGGTGATACCTTATTGTTGTTGTTAGTGCCGTTGTTGAGTCAGCTCCAACTCACAGAGACCCTGAATACAGTTTCCAAGGAGTGGCTGGTGAATTTGAACCGCCAACCTTAGGGTTGAGCGCTTATCCTGTGGCACCACACAAGGTGATTCCTTATGATCTGAAAAACAGTTTCACTTCTTCCTTTCCAGTCTGGATGCTTTTTCTTTTCCTCCTAATTGTCGAAAAGGAACTTTTTGAACACATTCTTTGAGCTGAGTTGAGGACACAGCCCTCTCCATTCAGACTCCCTGTCACCATTTAGCAAGGAGGGGTGGGGGCGGCGATCCTTCTACGTGTGGGCTGCTCAGAGTTTTCACAGGTACTGACGTTATCTTCTCACTGATGCCTGGTGGTTCAGTAGCTAGCTAGTAGGGGTAGTAGAGAATGACAGGTAGCAGCTGCCTTTCAAATGAATTAAAAAGAAATTCAGGTGTGGCTCAGAGAGGAGAAAGGCTGTGCTAAAGAGTCCTTGCCAGCTGGGACTGCTGGGCTGGCCTTCACATCCATGCCACCCAGACACCCTGCCTTTGGCATCTCTCAGTCTTTCTGCATTACATATGTGATGACATCAGTCTCCCCTAAGACTCTGGTCCTCCCCACATGACAATGCTGTATCTGCCACCCCTCTCTGTCTCCATCAACTGGAATTGAATCACGCCAAGTCCATTTCAGGAAGCCCCCGGGTCTCCTGGTTACAGATGTGCTGTCTTCAGACCCATAGTCGTAGACTGTGTTTTTCACATTATGCTGCTTGGTGTACTTATTGATCCTGGACGACTCCTTGATCTCCACATCATCTCGATTCACTCTAGGGCTCTCCAAGGCAGACACTGTCTCCTTCATCCTCATGTTCCCTAGAGTGCTGGCACCAAGCTGTGTGCATTGCAGGTGTCCAGCGCGTCTGCTGAAAATGAAGTGCAGTTGGTTTAACTAAGCTTCACAGAATTCCCAACCAGGATTCTCACATGTCTGTGGGTGGGACCACTTGTGCTTTCGTGGCTGAGCCCTGCAGACAAGCTGTGTTAGGATGGTACCCACAGAGCAGGTACCCAGCAATGCAGGTTGAGAGGGGCGAATCCTGCGGACCAAGTACACACTCCAGAAACCACCAAGAGGCCATCAGCGAAACGGGCTGCTCTCCTCTGAAACCCATCACTTGTTTATTAGCTGTTGGAGCAAACACATTGCTTAACAATGGCAGGCTCCCAGGATGTGTGAGCAGAGAGAACTTGAGACGGCAGTGTGGCCGTGGTGGTGATCTTTCTAGTTCTTGTTGTTGTTGTATGTGTTCTTCATACCTCGTCCACAGCACGAGGCACCATGTGGTTTCAGGTTTTGAAGACTGGGACACAGTCTTATATCCGTCTAAGCATCGCAACTTAGCCAAACCTCCACCAGGCCTTTTGAAACAGTTACTTTGCAGTAGTCTTCACTGGAAAAGCTTTATAAATTGGGGCACAGTTCCCCTACCACAGAATCCATCCTTCTAACAAGTGTTCAGTGCAGCAGTGCTTTGTACTCCACTCACAAAGCTGTGTAGCCATCACCACCCCAGGAGAAACCTGGTCTCCCCACCTCCTGTGACCCTGCCTCCATGTAATTGCTAGCGTGGGCGCTTCACCTTCTGATGGCTCTCTGCTGCTGCTCTTCTCATCACTGTGAGCCAGGTGGTGCTGGGCGGGTGTTCTCCACCTGCTACCTCAGCACCCGGAGGCTCCGTGACCCAGCTCAGCCCTGGCGCAGCCATGCGTGGGCGGGGAGCCCTGGGGGCTCATTCAGAGAGATGCCACGGCAGTGTCCAGCATCACGGGTCAGCGCCTTCATGACAGGGCCACTGCGGGCTCCTTGCTGAGGCTTCCCTCTCCTTCTGTGGCTGTTTTCTCTGTAGCGTTCTATGGAAACAAGGGATTCTCTATGGCTTCTGGTGCTGTGTGAGGCCCGTCAGCACGTGTTCTTTATCGTGAGCTTGATCCCAGGTTGGTTCTCCCTCGTATTTGAGACAGGAATCTCCTCCCAGGAAGAGTCATTTCTCTTCCATTTGTGCCCCACAGCTTCCCAAGCACCTCAGAAAATGATGTTAGTGGTGCTGTTATAAATGCTGTGAAGTTGGTTCCAACCCATATGGACCCTGTGTAGGGTTTCCGAGGAGCAGATGGTGAGTTTGAGTTGCTGGCCTTGCTGGTGAAACCAACCTATCGTCAAATGCTTATCCTACAGTGCCACACCAGGTCTCCATAGGAAATGGAGTTAAACATCTGAGTGGGGCACCCCAGGGTGTGAAACAAGCAGATTGGTATGAAGAGCTGACAGATTCTGACCTCTGGGAGTTGGCTGGTCCCAGAAATCCCATCTGGTCTCAGTGGCCTGATCCTCATATTTCCACTTGTTTGTGTATCACAAATGTGTTGGTGGTGGTGATGGGCTGTGGAGTCGGTTCCAACTCAGCGACCCTGCACAGGGTTTCCGAGGCTGTAAATCTTTACGGGAGCAGAAAGCCTCATCTTTATCCCATACAATGGCTAATAGTTTCAAACTACTGACCATGCGGTTAGTAGCCTGACTTATAACCACTACACTACCAAAGCTCCTCAAACATGTGTTAAGCACTGTAAGATTGAGCCCTGGTGTAGCACTGTGGGTTAATACACCAGACTGCAAAGCTGTTGGAACTACAAGGTTGGTGGTTCAGGGTTGCTATGGGTTGGAACCGACTCAATGGCACTAAACAATAACAACATCACCATAGGATTAGCACTGAACTAGTAACCATAAAGTCGGCAGTTCAAACCCACTAGTCACTCGGAAACCCTACGCAAGGTCACTGTGAGTTGGGACCAACTCAATAGCACACAACAACAACAACAACCTGTTAGACACCATTCAAGGGGCCTGAAGTCTGTCTGTCAGCCGGCATACTAGAACCAGCACCTCAGGGAGAAAGCTAGGGAAACACGCACAGCGTTGTGTGGGGCCGGGTAGAGACCGGGAGTGTTTGCAGCCAAGCCTCCTGGAGGAAGGCTGGGCAGGCTCCTAGGATGTCTGAGCAGAGAGAACTTGCCCTTAATTTTGTACAATACCAAAATATACGGGTTGGGTATGAACACACCATGGTTTTGGCAGGACCTGCTGAGTTGAAAGACAATTAATTGACCTTTGGTGTGAAAGAAAAGGCAGTGGGGACAGAGGGGTGCTCAAAGCCACATGAGGAAGTCCAGGCTACAGCCGTAGAGGGTCTGCCAGGCACCTACACAGCCAGCCTGGTCCGGGTCTGAGTCCCTGCAGTACCCCTCCCTTTGCTGACCGAAGCATTGGGTGCACAGGAGCAGGGCTGGCTGGACTTCTGTGCTTCCCACACTCCAGGGCTTGAGCAAGGGTGGGAAGGAAGGAGCTGGGCAGAGAAGCAGTGCAGTCGTTGATCCTGGAACTGTCCAGCATTCTGAATGTGCTATTACAAAAGTACATGCTCCACATAGAAACTCCAGAGAAGAAATAAAAACGTAATAGAAACGGAAATTACTCTGTGTCCCACCACCCGAAGGTGCTTAATTTGTGCTGCTTAATTTGTGCTGATAAATGTTAATAAATATTTAGGGTGATTAATCAACTTACTGATGCATATGTATTCCTGCGTATTGTGCTTTTTATTAATGCCGATGCTTCTCGTGACCATGTCTGCTTTCATTTGCTGGGTCTTGGGGTGGGGGGCTCCAGCTGCTCAGGCTTATTTTCAGAGTGGCAGACTCTGCCCAGCTACCCACAGAGAGGAACTTGTAGCTGTGTACATGAGGAGAGCTAGCCTGGGGACACCCGTCTGTCCCCCCCAGCCCTGCATCCAAGGGCAGCCCCGCGGCTCCTCACAGCTGCTGTGTGCACCTGTGTGGGCCTCGTTGGGAGAGGGTCCAGAAGTCCCTGAGCGCCCACGAGTTTCCTCTCTACAGCCCCATGCTTAGGTTAGCCAGGCCAGGGAGGACAGGCACAGCCAGGCCGTCTCTAGATCTGAAGAGCCCAGGTGCACCTGTGTGAAGACCTGCATGGTACCTGGAGACCCCTGGATACTGCCTGTGCTGCTGTATCCAAGTCCCTCAGGGAGGTCAAAGAGGAAACAGTTGGCCAAACACAACCATTGCTTCAGCCAAGATAGGGGAGCAATGTGTGTGGATCTCGGAGTGAAGGCAGCCAAGTAGCGCTGCCTGCTGTTGAACCTTGGAAATACAGCTCAGAAGGTACTCTGTAGAAGAGGTTTTAAGTAGCCACGTTAGCATTGGTGTTGGGATACAGAGGCAGGCATGGGACGTATCTGAGCACATCTTACCCCTGTGGTATGTTGGTCGGGAGGGACTCCTGCAGGTGACGCGGTGTCACCGAAAGACAGTGTCTCTCAGGCAGGTGACGAGGTGGCGCCTTTCTCATGTAATGTTCGGTTTCCTTCTGCAGACGTTCTTGTTCCCAACATGGAGCCCAGTAAAAAGATGGACTCCCCCGGCTCCCTGCAGACCAACCCCCTGCTGAAGCTGACTTCTGACCGCAGCACCGGGGCAGCTGTGTTTGTCCCCGAGCAAGGAGGTTACAAGGAGAAGTTTGTGAAGACCGTGGAGGACAAGTACAAGTGTGAGAAGTGCCGCCTCGTCCTGTGCAGCCCAAGACAGACTGAGTGTGGACACCGCTTCTGTGAGACCTGCATGGCTGCCCTGCTGAGGTGGGCCGGCTGCACATGGTCCACAACGGACTCCATAGGAGCCCGTACGCGAGTCTAAGCAGGGGCTCTCCCTTCACCTTCCACCCCTCACCCCCACCCCCCGGCACCGGTCAGGGACCAACTCGTGCTGCTCAGCTTCAGGTCTAAAGATGTAAAAGATTCATGTGATTTTTTTTTTTTAAACAAAAGTTTCATACTGCCAATCATCCAGTTGCCTGGGAGTCATTTCTTTCTTTCTTTCTTTCTTTTTTTTAATGTTTTATTGTGTATTGAGCGATAGCTTACATGGGGGAACATTAGCTTCACATTCATTCCATACCACATAGTTTCATTGCCTTAGTTACCATCCCGTCCATGCAGAGTCTAAAATGAACGAGGCTTTCTTTTAAGACAAGTGAATTTCCCATTCCGTCAGCCTTTAGCCCTGCTGCCTGGCTCTCCCACATGGCCCCCTCCGCTGCTCAGGGCTCTGCTGCCCAGGCTGCGGCCTCCTGGTCACTCCTAGGCTGGGCCAGGGGAAGACCATGGAGGTAGTGAGAGTGCACAGCTCGTTTTCAGCTCTGATCTCTAGGAGGTGGTTTCCAGACACAGAGTGGGATGGGGTGAGAACCAAGTCCCGACAGGGCAGCCTGGGGGAGGAGCAGGTGGTGCCCTGAGTTTGGGGACAAGAGTAATAACAGACTCTAGTGGTTTCCTTAAACAGGGACTGTTTAAAATTCTCATACTGTGTGTGTATAGTCTATGAAATTGCATTAGCGTTTTAATGGAGTGAAAAAAATTGTGTGCAAAGTATGGGCTGTTTTTTTAAAGGCACCAGCAGCTCCAGATGATTAAGGGTCAGTGAATACTAACACTCGAGAGCCCATCCGCGCTTAACTCCTTTTGGTTTCTGAAATAAAATTTCACTTTTATTTTCATTGAAAGGGGCTTTCCAAGTGGGACTGAACTACACTGTACAGCCTACAGACTTCCTTTTGAAAAGAAAAGCTGCCTTTTTGTTGTTATTGTTGTTAATTCAGCCCTTTTGTCCTGGAGCTTTAAGCAATTTCACCATGATCTACTGAGGCGCTGGCTGCTGCTGTAATCTCATGTAGTGAACGTGACCATGAACTTAATCTGAATAGTTGGACATAGCTAGTGAGTTCAAGTGACAGAAGGAAGGACCATGCACTAATGTGTCGTTATTGTGTTTTCCCTCAGCTCCACCAGCCCAAAGTGTACTGCGTGTCAAGAAGGCATCGTTAAAGATAAGGTAGTCCTGATTTTGAAGGAGTTACTTGTTGCATATTTTAAGCTGGGTGATAGTCTCATGCAGTCGGCATCCTGAGGCTGGCCTTGGAGGCTCAGACTACCCAGAGCAATAATACAGACCGTGGGTGCCACGGTGCTTGTTGTGAGAGGGTAGAGGAGTACAAGCACCGCTGTTCCCCGGGACTTTGCCCCAGATCGCTGGTATTTGAATTTGCTGTTTTTCTGCCCCTCCTGCAATATCTCAAAATCATTCAACTCCAAACCAAACTTACTACTGTCAAGTCATCTCCAGCTCTGAAGGGGAAACAGAGTAGAACCTTAGGATTTCCGAGACTGTCAGTCTTTGCGGGATCAGACGGCCTCTTCCTTCTTCCATGGAGCAGTTGCTGGGTTACAACCATCGACCTTATGGTTTATAGCCCAACACTTAACCCTCAGCACCACCAGGGCTCCTTCAGAGTCACTACACATGTGAAATGTCAGCCCCTTACATGCATACACACACATACATAGGCACACACGCATAGAACACACACACACACAGGCACCCATGTGTCTAGCACACACATGCATACTGTGTGGAGCACGCACAGGTACACATGTGCACACAATCACAATACATCGCTACACACACTTAATATGTGTGTGCACACCCACGCAGGCTCAAGCTCCTGAGTGCAGACTCTCAGAGTGGAGGAACCTTTCCGGTTCGCCTGCCCACCTCCCACCTAAGGCCTCATCTCTGACAGGTGCTGCTAAATCCTGCCAGGCGTACACACTGAGTCGGAAAGGACTCCTCCTTAAAGTACTTAAAACGTCAGTAAAAGTATGTGTGCTCCTGCTAGTTTAATTAATGAGCCTGACACTTGTGAATGTTTGTCATTGTGATGGCAGCGTCATTCTTGCTCCAGGCTTTTCTTGTGGCAAACACTGTCCACACTGGACGTGTGATGAGGTCAGGGCCTCTGACTTCAGGGTTTCAGATCGAAATCATTCAGTTGTCCGCGTGCTTTTCTTCTACTGCATTTACCTGCCAGTGAAGGTGTCTGTTACTAATGAGGGAACTGCTGTTAAGGAAAGCAAGCCACTCATCTCTCCTTCTCCTTGGTATCTCCATAAGTGAGGTTGAAACAGCGGACCAAGATGATTTGTTTTGGCTGCTGTACATTTTGGCATTCACAAGTATTCTCCCTGCTCTTCGATGGCATGGACAAGAGAAGGGTATTTTCTGGGTTTGTGTAGAAATTGTGAACGAGATTGATGAAACCAGCTGCCCCCGTGGACCATGGCGCTCCTCTAAAACGGAGCCAGTATCCCGAGGTCCTGGGCGGCTCTGAAATTTTATGCCGTTACTATTCTGGTGCTCTTACCCAGTGTTTGTTGTTGTTGTTGTTGTTGTTTTTCTAGCTAGGGGTAATTTATTGAAATAGCATTGAATTGTCAACCTTTGTGATCCTATGCTACTGTTTTCTGTTTAATCTTTCCATGTAATGGAAGAACTATAAACACATTCTTCAGTTAGGAAATTGATTTTAAACACACTCAAAAATTATATAGAGAAAGGTTACAGGAAATCAGTCAAAAAGAAGATCTTAAATGCTAACTAAAGTCAATGCTAACATTTTAGCCTGAAAAATAGAATCCACCCCATATTCCACCAAGCATCTGAGCAGTATTGTTTCTGGGGGGACTGAGGAACCAAATTTGGTTGATCAGGGACCAGCATGGCCATGCAGAGAAAAGAATAGGTTCGACCCAGGATAGAACCAGGATCCTCAGGGCATAATCACAAGTCTTACACACTGGTTTTTATCTATACAGTTAAACTCAAGTAGCTAAATTCATATAGTGCCCTGAAAAGACAGCTTATTTCTTACTGGTTTAAAAATAGCTATTTTCTTGGCTTTGCTTGGTACCTTAAAAAGAAAAAAAAGTCATGTTTATGAAGGATGAGACACTACTCAAGTTAGTGTATTCTTAACTCTTGACAGCTGCTGATTCTATTTCTCTGCCTGTGGGACTGAGAAAGGATGACTGCAGTCCCTCTCTGGTTCTGTCTCTGACATGAAGTGTTACCAGGTGGGAGTTTCTTAGAACTGTCTGAAGACTAAGAAGTCGGAAAGAGTGAAGAGTATTCCCTAGGACAAGTGGCAAATACGTTTTCTAAGGAAAATAGAAAACTAAAATAAAGGCAGGACAGTGTTCGTTTCTAACTAACATTTTCATGATCAGATTAACCTCAGAGTTTTGGGTCTCTTTTAATAGGCTTCTGTCTCCTTTTTTGGCAAGAAAAGGGGTGGGGAGAGAAGAGCTATAAACAACATCACCTTAGTGAAATGAATGAAATACAAATATTACAAACGATTCATAAAATAGGGTCCCTTCCAGTCTCTTTTAGGTTTCTCTGGAAGAGATTTGTAAAGGATGGTGGGTTGCAGCAGGCTCTTTCCTGCCCTTGGGAAGGAGGTGCTCCGTGCCTCTCCGTGCCTATGGCCCCCTTTACTGTGCCAGTACCTATGAGCCTGTGGACCCCACCCTCATGGACTCATGCCCTTCCCATGTCTTGAGAAATGTCCAAGTTAATCTAAAGTGTTTGACCTTTCCAAAGTCACCTTGAGTAACTCAGTTGAGCTCATCTCTGTGTGCTCATCTAACGAAAGGCTGTGGTTACTGTTGTATTGTTTCAATGGCACCACGTAGTGGGCCGGCACCTCTGTCCTCCTTATAGCAATTAAGATGGTCCTCAGTGCTTCCTGAGTCCACTTAAGAGCTGCTCTCCTGATTTTCGGAGAGTGGTTTTACCTTGTCCAAAGAAGCAGCATGTGGAGATTAAGAATGTTAATCCTCTAAAATAACTCTCTCTCCGTTCCAGGTATTTAAGGATAATTGCTGCAAGAGAGAGATCCTAGCTCTTCAGATCCATTGTCGGAATGAAAGCCGGGGCTGTGCAGAGCAGCTGACACTGGGACATCTGCTGGTAGGTAACGCTGAGAAATGCGGGGCTCTGCCTGTCAGCTGGTGGCTGGATTGTGTCATGGGACATCTAACACTACATGACATTCATTTTTCCAAACCATCTCCAGATCTGAAACTAGACAGAATTACTCAGATGTGAAGTGTTACTTGGAGCCCTAGTGTGGCTCTACAGGATATACAATGGACTTAGCCTACAGTCAGCAGTTCAAATCCACCAGCTACTCCTCAGACATCCTATGGTTCAGAACCAACTCAACGGCACACAGCAACAAAATAAAGTGTTACTTTTATATAACATTGTATTCTGTTGCCCAAAAGAAGTGCCTCCAGTCATATGGGCTAAGAATCAGAATCAGCACAAAGCTGTCTCCCACAAGGCCGAGCTCAGATATACCTCCGCTCCCCAACTTCTCCACCTATCCTGACAGCAGCTGTCACGGCCACAGGACTCATGACCTGTACCTACAGATAGGTGGGCTCTTAAGAAAGGCAGGAGCAGGAAGCACGTAGGTGAGCTTTAGAAGGATCCTCCCCAGGTGAGAACATAGCCCTCCCTTCTTTAATGATAAAAAGTGTCCAACCAGGACAACTCTCTGCCCCGTCTCAGCCTGGGTAACAGCTCTCCTAGCAGCTGCTTTGGCTCCCACCCTGGCACTGCTACAGGGCCCTCTGGTCTCTCACCACCCTTAGCCCTGAACCCATATTGCACCTCTTCTAGGAGTTGTCTGCTTCTTCTCTCTTTGAAAAACCTCTGTGACATTGGTCACTTCTATAAGCAACTCCTTGTCAGTTTCAAGGTGTGCTGCCACCCCCCACCCCAAGCAAGACCACAAACTGGCCAATCCCCTCAATGGGCTACCCATCACTCAATCCTATTAGGTGAATTTTCAAGCCACTATTTACATGGCAAATGGCCCAATTCTTGCAAGGGTAAATAAAATATACCAGTTATAGGGCAGACTGAAGCCCAGATTCCTGTAAGATAAGCACTGAACCACAAGATCAGTTTGAACTGCAAGGGTGGTGGTCCAAACTTACTAGTCACTCCTTGGAAACCCTATACAGAATCGCTATGAATCAGAACCGACTTGACAGTACTTAACACCACCACCAACAATGTGATATCTGAAACGGTGGTTGCCTTGGCAGGGCCAGACCAGATGATTTTGTCCCCTATCCTTGCTGTACAGTTTCCAAGGCTGTAAATCCTTATGGGAGCAGAAAGCCTCATCCTTCTCCCATGGAGCAACCTTGCATCTAGCAGTCTAGCTCCTAATCCACTATATTACCAGGGCTCCTTAAGATCAAAAATATCAGATCATTGCATTGTTGACAACTTACCCAGGAAATGCCAGTCAACGCAGGAAACTCCCTACAGCAAACTCTCTGGGGTAGAAAACATACAAAACTATCTGGGAACCCCCTCCCCAAGTTGCTTCTTTAAAGAACAGGGCAAAGGCAGCTCCTCAGGGCTTAGAGAAAAAATAATCTCTATAGACGTTTTTACAAAGCACCAAAGCAGAAGACCACGCAAAGGAAATCACTTCACTACCACCCTCACTGGCAGAGTTGTCAGCTGGTTTTTAAAGACCCCACCCTATTTAGAAAGAAATCAGAAGTGAGTTTTAATTTCAAAAGGCCCATTAAAGGTTTGTTCTTTTTTTTTCTTTCTTTTTTTCACTGTAAAATTCTGCATAACTGCTTGTGTGACTTCTATGTCTTTTTATTTGTATCATGTTTCATCCTGGAAGGATATTTGAGTTGGAGTATCCCAAAGCCCTGAGCAGATATCTATCTACCTACCCAGGAGAAAGAAGTGATTGACTTTTTCAAAAGCAGGAGGCTTTGAGTAATCACTGACTAGAATATGAGATTCTGTGTCTTAATGCATTTGTCACTCCTCACTGTGACAGACTTGTACAGCGACGGTTTTGAAGCATGTCTGTTGGATTGAATTGCCTAGAGGTTAGGAGCTGATGTTTCAGATTGAAGTTTTGCTGAGTAAGGATGTTGACTTGTCTGACAGGTGCATTTAAAAAACGATTGCCAGTTTGAAGAACTTCCATGCATCCGTGCTGACTGCAAAGAAAAAGTATTGCGGAGAGACCTCCGGGACCACGTGGAAAAGGCCTGCAGATACCGCGAGGCCACGTGCCATCATTGTAAATGCCAGGTTCCAATGATCACCTTGCAGGTGCAGTATTTTCCCCCCTACCTCTCCCTTGGTCCATTCAGATGTGCTTTATCCCCAGAATAGCTTTTTAAGTGACTATTCTAACCAGCACAAAGAGAGAAGGTGGGCAGATGTACATTTCAGAGTTAAGCTTTATTTGTCTGGTCTGTTTTGATTGATGTCATTCACATTTCCAGTGCCTTGACTTGACTGATTTCTCACAAAATGTAGAATTTCAGCTTGTCCCAGGGAGCGGCCTGAAAATGTTGGTGGATGGCCAGGCCCACGCAGTTCTGTGGTTGTCGCGCTCTTCAGAGTGATTCCCCTGTAGCGCAGAGATGGGAATTTCAAACGTCTTCGAAACCTCGATTATTTTGGCCTCATTGTACAGCATGCCCATGTTAGAATCAGGATGAACTCCCACGTACATTAGAGGGGAGATGTCGAGAGTAAGGGACAAACATTGACAATAAGCAGCTGCACTGGTGTGGTGGCCCCTCGTAGAACAATTGTGTGAGGAGCATCAACTGGTGCCAGACACGTGCTATCTGCTGGGCTTCAGTGGTGCCAGTCAGTCGCTCTGGCGGAAGGGGTCGTGAGGACTTCCTGTGTTGGGTGTTATTCATAACGACCCTGTGTACAACAGAACGAAACACTGCCCGGCCCCGTGCCCTCTCCTCATAGCTGTGGAACCCGTGATTACAGCCACAGAGTCATTCCTTCTTACTGAGGGTCTTCCTCTTTTTCACTCTCTGATGTGGCACTACGGGCTAATGGGCTGGACCGCAAGGTTGGTTTGAACTGCAAGGTCAGCAGTTCAAGCTTACCAGCTGCTTCTCGAAAACCCTATACAGGGTCGCTATGAGTCGGAACCGACTCAACAGCACTTAACAACAACTGTTTTATCAGACATGATGCCCTTCTCCAGTGATTAGTCCTTCCTAATATAAGTCCAAGTGTGGTACTACCTGCTGCCAAAAGACCCCAGGAGCATTGTTTTTAAGCAAAACAAATCACTCAACTCGACTCTTGAATAGAAGAAATTTTGAACGAGCTATAAATTACAGTCCATGCAAATACCTAAAGCTAGAGGATGCTAAGTACTGTGAAGAACAAGGAACCTGTATCAGGGCAGACAGGGGCCTCTGAGGCTGTTAGGTCGATCCATAAGCAACTCCGGGGAGGGGTGCATGTGACTGAGGGAACAGCAGCTGGTGGAGCTCCGTGTACTCAGCACAGGTCAGGGGCCTGGGACATAGGGGTGATCTAGTCAGAGGGCAGGGGCACCACACGGCTCCCGAGAAGGTGTGGGATGGAGACCTGATGCTGGGGTGGGGGTGTCACCTGGGGTCCATGGTGACAGTAGAGCTGATTGGATTCACTGATGGCCTGAGTGCAGAGTAGAAACAGCAGACGTTGAAATGATGCCCAGCATTGTTCATAGGGCTGCAAGGGCCTGTGGAAGATGGCAGGTTAGGGAGAAACTGAGGTGCCTGTCCTACAACTTGTGATTGGGCAGGCTAGTGTTAACAGATGAGGGGACCGGGGACTGAGAAGTGAGGTACCTGAGGGCTAACAGAGTGCCCGGAGGTTGTCTAGTTGAGGTGGGGCCAGGAAGGCAGGTAGGGTACAACAGTGGGGTCACAGAGGCAGGGGCAATGTTCCCAGGGGGTGGGGACCAGTGGAGATCATCAACCAGAGAGCAGCTGGGGGTGGGGAGGGCCCCTGCCACATGTTGGAGGGCTGCTGGAGCCCTTAGGGTTACACCACCGCTGGTGAAGCCTTGTCTGCGATTCTGTGCAAGGTGAGATGTTTGCCTGCTTGAGTCCCAGCCTCTCCCTTTTTCTGAGTGATCTCCAGTGTTCCGGACTATTCCATTATGCCACCCTTTACTTAAATAATTCTGTAGACGTTCCCACGCATCGACAACTGTGCCCACCCCTTTGGAAAATAGCGGCAGTATTTGCTATTCTGCAGCATCTCTTAAGACTAGTAGTGTGGTGCTGTAGGGTAAACACTGGACTGCAACCACCAGGGTCGGTGCTTTACACCCACCAGCTGCTCCATGGGAGAAAAATGTGGCTGTCTGCTCCCATAAGGATTGACAGCCTTGAAACCCTACAGGGCAGTTCTGCTCTGCCCTCTGAGGTTGCTGTGGGTCGGAATGGACTCGACTCAACAGCAGCTGGCTTTGGTTTTGGTTTCTTTGCCATAGTTGAGGAAGTCCTTCAGTAATGAGATCCATGTGAAGGAGGCACAGCCCCAGTGAGTGGTTTTCCAGACCGGGCATATTAGCTGATTGCTATGTACTTTGCTTTTTGCAAAAGTTGGTTGCCTTTATTTGTAGAGTAGAATCCAGGAATGAATGTTCATTTGAGAAGGAATGGTGAAGCATGCCCATTGGAGGCCACACCAGTGACTGGTGTGTGAGCCTGGGACAAGGCTGTGGCGAGTCTGGCTTTACAATACCAGCACAACATAGGTGTTCACCAGACTGCCACCAGGAGCCAGTGGGTCCCAGACTTGTGTTAGAGACACTGGTGAGAACGGCTCTCTGCTGCCTCACAGCCTGGTGACGGAGGCCAGAGCATAAATGAAGAAATGCGCTCCAGTCAGTGGAGGAGCTCCCAGACTTGTGTGTGACTAAAGGGTGACCACTGGCATCCCATGACAGGGTCAAGAAAGGCATTAGTGGGGAGGGGACTTAGATTGAATCTGGGTCTTAAATGTTTCAGCTGGTGACGAGAGAAGGCCAGTACAGGTTGAAGGTACAGAAGGAGGCGCATGGGAAGGCCTGAGTGTGTGAGGAGTAACAACAGTCTTATCATGGAGGCCGGTCAGGCGGTTGGAATGGCTAGGCAGCTGTGTGCTATCTCCGCTCAGGCTTATTGTAATTACAACCAGCACATGTGTGTGTGCCATCTCTCTGTGTGTGAGCCCACGTCATAATGCTGACAGAACAGTCCCATACCAGGTGGCATGATTGGATTCCCGAGCTGCTTGTTCACTCAAAGCTGACTCACGTGCTCACACACATGTAACATAGGCAGGCGAGAGAGCCCAGGGCACGCTAGGTTCCTGCATTGTCCTGTTTGGTGGCATGTCAGATACATCGCATCATTGACACAGTGGCTGTTGATAAAGCAGTGACACTGGCCACACTGTGGTTCACATGGGAATTTCGTTCCAGCAACTCACCTGGGTTGTGAACATTCTGTCAGCTCTTCCCAAGGAATTAAAAAAATGTGTAGGTAAGTATCATGTAAAGTGTCAGCAGAAAAAAAAATTCCTTTCTTTTGCATTTAGTGTAGAAATTATTGAACAACAGTGTCTTTAAAGCAATGTTTTGATTTGTGAAAAATCAGAGTGTTTATAGGAAAACTAAATACATTGTGCTGGGAGTACTCGTGTATGAGGGAACCAAGTGGGGCGATGGATAGTGATGTTGAACACTGGGGTGCTCCTTCCTCGACATACAAGAGAAACTGCTGTACATACCTGCCAGGAAACATGCTCAAGCATGACCAGAACAGAACAGCATCGCCTAGAAATAGCCGTGTGTCCATCCGTCTTAGGTGGGTGGCAGATAAGCTGTGGTTGGGTCACCAGTTGTGTGCATGGCAGTGACATTACAGCTTCAGTGTCGGAGTAGAGGACAGGTCTGTACCCATACATATTGGACACTCTGAGGAGCATAACAACGAGCTGGCTCCAATCAAAGCAGAATAGTGGGCCCCACATGTGTCATGAAGTACTTGTCTTTTGAAAAGCAAGGGGGTAGAAATCCAGAACTCCAGGTTGTGGTTTTAGTGGCCACTCCCTGAAGGGATGAGGACAGTAAACAGGGTGTTGGGTTTGGATCAGTGTGGGGGCACACACATGCTAACCCAACCCTTTCCTCCTCTGCAGAAACACGAGGACACCGAGTGCCCCTGCGTGGTGGTCTCCTGCCCACATAAGTGCAGTGTCCAGACACTTCTGAGGAGCGAGGTAAGAGGCTGCTTTGGGCTGGGAGGGCTTTGGGGTGACCCTGTCTGAGAGGCCTCTTCCCCTTTGCCGAAGTCTGGCGTTGTTAGGGATCTTTGTAGTTGTGTGTAGAGCAGAAAAGGAAAAACCTCAGGTTGCTAATTAAAAGTTAGGAACTTCAGAGGCAAGCAATTAAAATTTCTAAAGTGGTCAGTTCAGAGCAAAAAACTTTTTCTAAGAATGAAGAAAATGGGAATACGTTATCCTCAATGCAAGCGCAGGCGACCTGTTTTATGTGGACAATTTTAAAATGCATTTAACTGTACAGGCGATGGGATGATTCCAAGAGGATTCTAGACAGCTGCCTAACTGGGAGACACTCCTGACCATTCTGTTTGTGGGTAGGACAGGGAGACCTGGGGAGGTCCCGTGCAGGCCAACTCCACACCTCACTGACCCTCTCTTGAGACAGACGCAATTTTCAGGGACTTCCTCTTCTCAGGACAGTCAGATAGAAAGACCCCATGGGCTCTCGCTCTGATCCTGACCTGGCGTCATGTGCAGGTGTCCCTTTGGTTCTGTAATGGGAGCAGCCTGAGCCCTCGGGGGCCCAGCATTGCCAAGCTTCCTAGTCGCCAGGTGGTCACTTAGTTCTAGGGGTGCTGGTCTCAGAGGCCCCCCATCTTTTATCTGCAGCCCTGAACTTTCACTAGGACATTGAGAAGCTTTGGAACTTGAGCAGAGACAGGCCCTGTATAGCCTAGGGCCAGGGCATGGGTGGGGCCCCAATGGGTGAGGGCAGGTCCCCACCCCCAGCACCATCCACGTGGGCTTCAGTCCCCAGCCATGGAAAGTCCCTCTGTCAGTTCACAAGCTGTTGAAATAGTTCCAGCATTTTAGACACTTTTCTCAATTTGTATCCAAATTGGGGGCAAAAACTGGCTTTTTTCACCTCTTAAGTTATTTTTATTTAAAAAAAAGAGTCTTTAAATCTATATTTATCATGGCTTTCTGATTGAGCATGCTGTGGGGCTGCAGTTTCTTCTTGCCTGTCTTCAGAGTTTCCTTTAAATTTCTAGAGCTCCGAAGGTGACATCATAAAGCCAATTTAGAGAACAGTGTAACCCTGAACTTAAAGTTAAGTGCTGTTGGGTCCGTTCTGATTCATAGGGTTTTCTAGGAGCAGCTGGTGGGTTTGAACTGCTGACCTTGTGGTTAACAGCCCAGTGTTTTTCCTATAGCGCCACACCAGGACTTAGAATTTAAAGCAGTCAAACTCATCCTTCCACTGGATCCCTGGTTATCTGGCTAGCACAGAAAGAATATATTTGACACTTTTCACATAATGTTCCCACCCCTGAGCCTTTGGGCACCTGCCTTCAGGTGCACCTGGCGGCCCTGGAGGCTGCTAGCCCCTTGACCGACCTGGTTCTGTCAGCTCAGAGACCACCTCAGAAGACTGTTGTCCCTCCAGGCTGATGGATGATGCCTCATGCTGTCCCTCCCCATCTTAGTTGTGGAAACAGGGTGAGAGGTGGGTGGGGTGCTGCACCCCTTGGTGCCATGTACTGTGACTGTGGACCAAGGAGACGGGACAATGAAGACACCCACCAGTGACCACCATGGTCCCTGTACCGGGTGGGTTCATAGCACGGGGCTTGAGGGGTGTGTATCAAAAAGTGCCTCTCCCTGGGGTTCCTAATGAAAATGTCTTCACCAGAGAAAGGGGAGCCCCTTAAATTGTGTCGGCCTAAATATTGTGTCTTGTAAATATTGCCATTCTAGTTCCCTTTCCTCCCAAGGCACCAGCCTCCAAGCTGAGTGAGGGGTTTCCTTGAAGCGCTGGTCCTCTCCCAACTCCTTTGGTTCCCTAGAGGTGCAGTCTGAGGATCCCTTTCATTAGAATGCCTGAGAGCAAACCGAATCCACAACCATCGAGTGGATTCCAGCTCAAATCCACCCTTTAGGACAGAGTCTCAGTGACTCGGTGACCAGCCAGAGAGGGGCAGTGTTTTCAGGACAGCCTGGCTCCAGCTCACTTGGACAGTGTACTCTTTTGTGTACTGCATACTAGGTGTCTGCCCCAGTTACATCCTGAATGCTTTATATTTTTTGTGTTTCATGCAATTTTTGTTTATAGTCTATAAATGTGCTTTTCAGTTGGTGTTTTTTGTTTTGTTTTTTTTTTTCTTTTAAAAACATTCTGGCACTGTAGACAAGCATGTCACATTTTGAACAGTTGATTCTAAAGAAATGGCAAAGTTGAAACAATGTTACAGTAAATGTATTTTGTATGCAATGTGTATATGTGCATACACGTGGCTGCACTATATATTGACTGCCTAGGTGCATAGGAAGCAGGTAATCTATGCACACCTGGAGCTGCTTACCACCATTCTGAACAGTGCAGCTCTAGTGCGATCTGTGCCCTTAATATGTTTGAACATGTTCGTGCAAATGTTCGTGCCACAACTCACGTCTCTTTCCCGTTGCAGTTGAGTGCACACTTGTCAGAGTGTGTCAATGCCCCCAGCACCTGTAGTTTTAAGCGTTATGGCTGCGTTTTTCAGGTCAGTATCCAACATTCATCCTTCAAGTCACTGGCATTCTGCAATGAGAGAAAGTTATCATATGACCATTTTAACATGCGAGTTCTAGACTCTCGTAGTCTTTGTCATGAAATGGAAACGCCCGCTGCACGGATGACGAGCGCCACGTGCAGCAGGCGTGGGCGCTTGATTCCGACGCCTGTGAGATTCTGAGGCTGCCTGCTGAGGGCCAGGTCAGCTTTCTCACTTCATCTAAAACCAGCAATGACAGCGTGGGGGTTGCTAGAAAGATTGTGTGGAATCATTAATGCTGTTTGAACAGAAGTCAACACCTAGCTGGACACAGCTCAGCAGTGTGCATCACAACCTACACACCCAGCAGGGCCACATACATGTGTGTGCCGAGTGCACTTCGTGGACATGCCTGTGCTGACAGACTCAGATCAGAGGCCAGCTCCCGGCGCGGCCCAGTCCAGGCACCTGGCCTGGGAGAGGCTTGGGGATGTGCCAGCTCCTGCCACACATGTAGTGTGAGAGGCCTGTGTTTGGTTGTTTGGTTTGTGCCTTCTTATTGTTTGTTTCAACACATTTCAGGTTGCTAGAGAATTGAAATTGAGTTTTCCTTTAAATATATACCTGGGTTTTAAACCAACAGAGGGAAGTATGTCTTACAAGTCAAGTGTTTTGTATTTAATTCTATGCATCACCAATATACGATTATGAGCTCAGTATAAAGCTGTTAGCCTCTTGGTATTTTCTTAGAAAGTCAAAAGTTAAGAATGACAGTAGCCTTCCCTTTACTTGAGTCTGTAATGAGACCGGACCTTCGCCACTGTACGTTTGATGTGGTGCCGTTCATTTCTCTGTGTATGTGTCTATATATGTTTATATATGGCCACACTTATATCAACATATATATATATATATGAATAGTCTATGTACAGAGTATATGTTTTGGAGATCATTGAAATATTTTCCTGTGGCTCCTTAATTTTCCACTTTCAAAACAAACTATATTCTTCAAACCAGTCATTTTCTTACACATTTGAAGTACAATTCCATGTGATTATTACCACTGCTGAGAATGGTCTACATCTTGTGTACTCTGTAGATTTTCTGTGTTTTGTATGTAACTTTCTGAGTACATTTAGGAGGGAAGGAACAGTCCCTTTTCTCAGAGCATGTTTGAGCTGACAAATGAATGCTCTAGTCAGTCACTCTGAACCCTAATTTGATTGCATTGTTCGTATGTAGCAGCATCTAGGGGTAACTGCAGATATCTAAGCATTTTCTGTGTAATGTTTTAATGAGAAAATGACACGAAGGAACCAGAGCGATAGGAGCTGAAACTCGTTTCACGATTCTCACCCATGTGAGGCTGAGCTGAGCGCGTGAGGGTAGGCACACTAGCGGCGGCTGAGTGTCCCCTCGGGTAGATGGTGGTACAGCCTCCGTTAGTCTGCCTGTGCTCTGCACTGGGGTGGGTCGGCTTACTGCTCTCCATCTCTGTTCTCGCAGGGAACAAACCAGCAGATAAAGGCTCATGAGGCCAGCTCGGCTGTCCAGCACGTGAACTTACTGAAGGAGTGGAGTAATTCCCTGGAAAAGAAGGTATGAGCCACCTTCCTCTACACACACACACACCCCGCTGACTCTGACTCACGGGGACTCTGTGGGTGTCAGGGTATAGGACTAAACTCCAGAAGGTTTTCAGTGGCTGAGTTTTTGGAAGGAAATCACCAGGCATCTGTGGGTGGTACTCAAACTGTCAACCCTTCCACAGAGAGTGTGTGGAAAATGAAATTAGGAGTTACAGGTGAATAGAGGTAAATACTGTTAGTTGATGGTGTGTGGACGGGATTGCAGTCATTGTACTGAAGCAAAATATATGATTTTTCTGAATATAAAACTGATGATCTGTCTGTAAACATTCACTCAATTCACAATAAAAAGTAAAAAAGAAATAGGATTTTTCCATGAAATTTTTGAACCATTGTTATTCGTTGTTGTTAAGTGCCGTCAAGTTAATTCTGACCCATAGTGACCCTGCAGAGGCAGCTGGTGAGCTTGAACCACCGACCTTGCAGTTCAAATGGCTTTGCAATCTGGCGCATTAACCCACAGTGCCACACCAGGACACCTATCATACCATATTTATGTATTTGTATCAAGATCAGCGGTTCAAACCTGCCAGGCACGCCTCAGAACCGACTTGCTGACACTTAACAACAACATGTATATATATATTTTTTTCTTACATGATTTATTGTGAATTATGTGATAGTTTACATGGGAGAACATTAGTTTTACATTCATTCTGTTGTATATCGTCTCATTGTCATGGTTACAATCCTTCCCCCATGCCCCCCAGGTCTTCAGCACACAGTCACTCTCCCTCTCTCGGTCTAGGGTCTCCAGCTGCTCCATATCTCCACATAACAGCATGTATATTTATTTATCTGTACATTGTTGTTAAGTGCCATCGAATCAGTTCTAATTCATAGCGCTTCTGTATAGGGTTTCCAAGGAACAGATAGTGGGTTTGAACTGCCAACCTTGCTTATCTTACATACAGCGCCACACCACGACTCCATATATGTAAAATAACAACAGCAAATTATATAAAAAGAAGCATTTTTCATAGTTAATAGTGGTTTTTAGATCAAAGAAACAGCATCCAAAGGTTGTGAAAAAGCAAATTCTCTTTGTGTGATCTTGAGCTTATAAATGAAAGCATTTTGTTTTATTTTTATTTGTTTTGGTTTTAATTGCCAAGTAAGTATCCAGTTGTGGCAAGGCAGGTAAAGCTCTGGGCAGTCCGTTCTGACTCATAGTGACCTAGTAAAGGGTTTGAACCGTCGACCTTGCAGTTAGCAGTCTCCCATGCTTACCCTACAGCTCAGCACCAGGACTCATTAAAATCACTGTTTGGTCATGTGGGCATTGTTCTAGAGCAGGATTATCGTGTTGAAAACCCCTACCCACTGACCACTATGCTGTTTGTACTGCTTCCCCACCAGGCCGCAGAGCAGCGCAGTCATGCCAGAGACCCCGAATGTTGACTCTCTGACTCTTTATAGGGATGAGGTTGTTGTTGTGAAGTGCCGTCGAGTCGATTCTGACCCATAGCCACCCTGTATAGGGTTTCCAAGGAGCAGCTGGTGAGCCTGAACTGCCGATCTTGCAGTTCAAATGGCTTTGCAGTCTGGTGCATTAACCCACAGTGCCACACCAGGTGGGTGGTAAATGCCTCTCGGGTCTTTGTCTTTTGTAAGAGGCACATAGGACAAAGGCGCCCTGTTGGTGCTGTGGTTGGCAATTCAAACTCTCCAGCCGCTCCTTAGGAGAAAGATGAGGCTGTTCTGTAAAATTCTGTAGTCTTGGAATCTTGTATCGGGTCACTGAGTCGGCATTGACCTGATGTCAGTGGTTGAATAAATAGGACAGATTCCCCGGTCACAGTTTTTACTGTCGCCTTCCCAGACTGACTCTGAATTTTCAGCATATTCAGACCCCCTTTTCTCCCGGGCCTGTTCCTGCAGAGCTCTTCACTGTGGAAGCTGCCAACGCCACAGCAGGCCCCTTCCCAGTGGCACTTGCTCGGGATGTGCCCACTCAGGGGGTTCTGCTTTTCATGAGTAAAGCTTCACAAACCTATAAGACTTGATAGAGAGTGAGCAGGCGTGCTAGAATCTCCCGTTGTGGTTTATTTCAAGAAATGAAAACAACTCATTATTCAACAGACAAGTAGTGAGAGCCTGCCGTGTGGAAGAGTCGGTGCTGGTGGGGGCCGGAGGAGGCCAGTGGGGAAACCTGCGTGTTTCCGGAAGATTTTGACGGTCTGTTTTGAATGTGAAATCCAAGCCACTCACAATTTAAATACACTTGAAAGGCAGAGCTTGTAAATATCTAATTCAGAATATTTAATAAGATGGTTTTCATGAAATCTGACCTGAAAGGATAGTGTTAATATAAATGCTTTAGAGATGGAGGCAGAGATGGGGACATGGAGAGAGGGAGCAGCTGAGGACTCTAGATTCATGGGAAGAGAGGGATTGCAAGCTGGTGGCCAGGAGGCAGACTTAGCAGAATGTGCCTTTTGGTGGTGTAAATTATTATATATGCCTGAGTGTTTAAAAAAAAAAAAATAGAGCTAAAGTGAATAGAGAGAAATATTG